AGCTGAGGGGATATGTAGGCAATGATGTTTTGGGTTGAAAAACGCTGTGAATGTGGACATGATTTTTTTGGGGCGAGGGGAGCAGGGGGAAAGACTCTGCCTCCTTCACCTCACTTGCACAGCTGGGATCCTTAGCAAATGTGTGCAGAGGCTCTGCCAAAGCCTGAGTCACTCAGAGCCTCCAGCACGGGAGGAAACCGAGGGGCAAAGGCGCAAGGTGGCACAACCAGGCCCGAGGGGGCTTCTCGTCCACCGGCCTCCTTCCTTACTGCGCAAGGCAGGGACGAGCCGACACTCATGCAGTCACCCTAAAATCCCTCCTGGGATCGGGTGCCGTGCTGGAGCACCCTCCTTGCGGCAGGGAGGCTGTCCCAGGGGTGCAGGCTGAGCCCCAGCCAAGCCAAGCACGCAAAGCCATCCCTTTCTTGGCCCTTCTAATTGACCCCTGGGACCATTGAGCAATCTGTGACATTTTGGGTTGTTTTGGTCTTTTCCTTCTTTTTTTTTTTTTCCCTGACGCTGGATTTAAGATTTCACGTGGGATGATTTCATACAGACTCAGGCAGCAATGTGCATGTGTGTTGGGAAGTAGCCTTTGCTCTTAGACCCTTCAATATCCTCTTGTGTTTCATTGACTTCTCCCCTACTTTAGACTACCCACAGCCAGACTCCCTAGATGGCCCCGTCATCCCAATCCAAAGGAAATATTTCTGCCTCACTTAGAAAAATAAAAATGTGGATCCTCTTGTGGTTGTTTGAGGTTGGAGGAGAAAACCCCTTGCCAGGGGGGGAAAAAAAAAAAAGTGAGGGAAAAAAAGATGAGAACATGTTGTTTTGGCTTCTGACAGTGTCACTGGTCCTTCCCTAAGAAATCCAGTAGAAAATCCTTTTCATTTGCGTTTACAGACATTTTGGGGAGCAAAGACAGTGCTGGCATGAATGGCTTCCTCTGTTCCACCTTGTTATTACTGATTCTTGTGGCAAAAGGCAGAAACAAGAATAGGAATATGGCAGGAAAGGGCCTTTTTTGTTATTGTTTTGCGTCTCAAAATCACCAGGCATTCAGCACTTAGCAAGTTTTCTTCACACCAGTCTTTTTGAGGGTTTTGCTACAGGGCAGCTCTTAAAAGGGGAAGGCATGTGCTTCTGCTTAGTAGATGCCTGGATTTAGGCAAATGAATGTAAATGCATGCAAAATGACAAGGTACCTTTTTTCTCTTCTGGGGGATCTTGGCCGGTATGGCTGAGAAGGTGTCAAGTATGGTGACAGTTTTCTCATGTGGACACCTGTCCCACAGACTGAGACCATCTGTTTTGTTTTCCCACACACAAGAAGCAAGATGCATATCCTTCAGCCAAGCTAAGAGATGAAGTTCAGAGGTAGAAAAATTGCAGATAAAGAGGGAATGTCAGATAGGATGTGAAGTCTAACTCCCCGCACTTCGCGAAGACTCTTTTTCTGTATTTCACTGTCAGTGTGATGTAACAAGAAAATACACTAGAAAAGTGGTATCTTCTGCCGTCTGGTGTGAATATCTACTCAAGGTTCAGTGGAAGAGGAATTCAGCCCCAAATTTTGCACTGCGAGGTGGAGAGGAGATGGAAAGAGGGAGCACATCATGGCCCAGGCAGATGTGCAGCCACAGGTCTCACAGGATGATTTAAGGAGCTACCGTGCTCCATCTGCTTCCTACTGAGCTCGTATGGGCTCCTCCCCTGCAGCTGAGCCACACGGATGCTCTGCACAGATGCTCCCTCTCTGCTCCAGGGGCTCATGCAGCTGAAACAGGGGGAGATGACTTTGCACTAAAGCACACCAGGAGCACCCACGTGGTCACTAACGCAGTACAGCTAAGGCATAGCAGCAAGTAATTGGAGCTCCACAATTCCACAAAATGTCCTCTGCCTGGGCCCTCTTCTAAAGCAGTGAGTTAAGTCAATTTACCTGGTTTTGTGCTGAAATAGGCACAAATTACTCATATTATAAGCACAAGAATAACAGCAAACTGTCCAGGCTGGTAACACCTTAGACCAATATGTCTGTTTGCAAAGCGACTGTGCCTTCAATGACAGCAACAGCATTTCCAGGCTACTGGGCAGTCTTTCATAAACTCACTGTTAACTCACCCTGCATGGTTGCAATGTCATCTTGCCCCTACTGAGCGTAAAAAATTAGCTATGTGTCCTAATCCTGACTGTGATATATGTACAAATTCAAGGCAAATTAAGACAGGAGGATCTACCCTGGGACCTGGAAGCTGCCCCAGCTGATAGAAAAAGGATATTTTTGCTTCTTTATGGGCTGACAATTTGTTTAAAGACCTGTTAGGTACCTTTCAAATGTTCTCCCATCCGGTACCAGCAAGTACTGCTTTCTCTCAGGGCTGTATCCAGTGATGGCAAAACAAAAGCAAGGACAAGCCAGGAAACTGCTGACAGGTGTTAGCTATTAAGGAAAGGAGGGCAGAAGGGATTAAAATCCCAGTGAAGGGCTGGAGCAGGGAAAGTGGGGGGCACACCTAAATGTAAAAATCTGGAAGTTTGTGTCTAGTTTTCTTTTCTTGATGTAATCTATGAACAAAGCCGTTAGATCACTCCAGTTGTCTGCTAGCCAGTCAGATTATTTTTCTAGGATTAAAAAAAAAAAAAAAGAGAGAGAGAGATGGGTAAGTTTTTCTTTTATTTATTTATTTTTGCCCTTACCGTCCTTCTGTTATCTTATGCTGGGCTTTCAATATTTATTTAACAATCAGGTAAAAATAAATATTATAGCCTGGCTTGTTTAAGGGGTGACATTCCTTGAAAGCAGCAGCTGGAGCTGATCCTGTACTGAGCGTGTCGTGCAAGCTCAGCTCAAGTTAATGGAGCAGCTCTCTGCTATGCTCTGGTTTAGCTGTTGGTGATAGAGCACTTGGAATAGAAAATGCATTTTCTGATAAGCATTAGTCAAGACAGCTTTTTTTTTTTTTTAATATGTAATACAAGAGTGCCTAAGCGTTGAGGTCCTGGGGATATGTGTAACAACAATTTGTTCTATGTCTGTCCTGATATATAAAATGAAATGTAATAGACAAAATTGCAAGCTTGGCATAGTCTATCCTAAGCATCCTCAAATCCTGAGGCAGACTCTTAAAAAGCATATGGATAGCATAATTTCCAAGACTTAATTCTCTCCAGTTTTGTGGTTGGGTTACAGTAGCCTCTAGGGGTCTGAGTTCTCCAGCTCTTCCTCACAGCCGTGTGAGTGACAAATGTAAAAATGTTTCAACAGCTAATAAGAGCTGAGGTCCTCAGCTAGCTACAGAGCGGGGTCAGCTACAGCTAAGGGAAAAGCCACCGATATGTTCTGGGTATCTTCCTCCCCCGCCACACACACACACACACAAAAATTCTGAGAATAGGCAATACTACAGCATCAACCTCGTGCCTGTGAACAGCAAAAAAGTTCTTTTGGAGTGTAAACACTGTTTACACATTTGTCTATGTGAGCTTAACTTTTTTATTTTTTTCAAGCAAGATAGGAACTGGTTTGTTTCATCTTGCTATTTGTTCATAATTCTTAAAACATTGTTTTAAATCATCAAAATCCAGAGGCATTTTTCAGTTTAACATTGATGACTGGTGTGCAGAACAGAACTGGATTCAATGATTAGAAATATTTGTTTAGACTTCCAGAGTTTCTTCCTATGTTGGGTAAGATTTGACTTAAGAGTAAGAGTTTCCATACACTCAGTCAGACTGCAAAGTGAAATGGCACTCCAATCATTTTGATCCAAAACCTGGTATGTAGCAATTTGACATTTCTGACTCTTCAGATGAATGAAAATTATGGCAATAATCAGAGCAAAAGCTTTCCAGTAAACAGCTTGGGTTCTAAAAATGGGTATACTGCAAATAAGAAACCATTGATGGAAAAAATGTGTGGCTAACACATTGCTTCCAGCTCAGAGTGGAAATTATTAAACATTTACCTTATCACCAAACTCCAATGGCATCTTCTCCCTTGGCAGGGTGAATACTGCTTCTAAACAAAACACTCCTGATTCCTAATAGCTTTCCAGGTTTTATATACTTTTTGATGAGATATAGAACATTTCCCCTCTTCTGTCAGAGCTGGAAAATTAATCTTTGACTGTTCAGAAAGACTATGCACAAACAATTGGAAGCTCACAGTGAAACAAGCTCTTAAACCATAGTATATTGAAAGAAAAAAAAAAGTACTATGGTATTTTCTACATTTGTGTTACATGAGGCCTGACTTGTTCGCCTTAAACCCCTTGCTGCTGAGGGAGGCCAAGAATGTTATCCACATTTTGTGATTTGTAAATAGACCAAAGCAAATATAGTGCATTATTCAACACATCTGCTACTGTCCACAACATTTAAAACACAATATAATTTGTATGAGGTTTCTCCGTCAGCCATAGAAATTCAGCAGCCTCTAAGGTGCAACCCAATAATTCCCTGAGGGTTTCAAAAACGTTCATGACTGGATATAGAGGACACCTTACTAATGGAATAAGAGTTTCAGGTGATAG